CCCAGGGAGGCTTGCTTAAATTCAACTTGCTTAAATCAATAAATGTGACTTGCCACACAAACAGAAGCAAAAGCAAAGATCATATGACAATCTCAATAGATGCAGAAAAAACATTCAACAAAATTCGTCACCCTTTAATGATAAAAACCCTCAACAAACTAGGCATAGAAGGAACATATTTCAAAATTATAAAAGCCATATATGACAAACCTACAGCCAACATCATGCTGAATAGGGAAAAGTTAAGAGCATTCCCCCTAAGAACTGGAACAAGACAAAGATGCCCACTGTCACCATTTCTATGGAACATAGTGCTGGCAGTCCTAGCCAGAACAATCAGGCAAGAGAAAGAAATAAAAGGTATACAAATTAAGAAAGAGTAGGTCAAACTACTGCTCTTCACTGACAACATGATCTTGTACCTAGAAAACCCCAAAGACTCCAGCAAGAGACTCCTGGAATTGTTAAATAAATTCAGCAAAGTCTCAGGTTATAAAATCAATGTACACAAATCGGTAGCATTTCTATATACCAGTAACAGTCAAGCTGAGAGTCAAATCAAAGGCACAATACAAATAAAATAAAATACCTAGGAATATACTTAACCAAGTAGGTGTCATATCTCTACAAGTAGAACCATGAAACACTGAGGAAGAAATCACAAACAAATGGAAACATAACCAAATGGAAAAACATACCATGCTCATGGATTGGTAGAATCAACATTGTTAAAATGTCTATACTTCCCCAAATGATTTACAGATTCAGGGCAATCCCCATCAAAATACCAATGTTATACTTCATAGACCTATGATATAAACCTGTTCTTAATCATAGGTCACTGTGGAAAAGGTTTGAAAGTCCCTGGGAGTTAGGATAACACTGTGGTTAAGGGTTTTGGTACAAACTCAGGTTCATATCCTCACTCTTCCACTGGACCACCCATGTGACCTTAAGCATCCTGGTTAACCTTTCCTTGCCTTCATTTCTTCAGCTGAAAATGGGTTTTATTTCACAAGGTTTTATAGGAAGGAGCACCTGTAAAATTCTAGCATCATGCCTGGCATATGAAAGGGGTTTTCAAAAAGTCATGGAAAATATGTATTAACATTTTAAAAACATTTAAAAAACATTTTACCTACTTCACTGGTTATGAGCATGGGACCTGGGTCCACCCTACTTGGGTTTAATCCTGGTTCTGCACTTAATAAAGTTCTTGTGCTTTCTTTTCTTCATCCATAAAACAAGGATAATTTCAGTACTTATCACATAGGATTACTGTGATGATTAATAACAGGTAATACACATAACACACTCAGGGCAGTGCAGTTACAGAAAAATCCCTCTGTCAGTGTCCTCATTTAGAAAGATCCCTGCTTCATCAGTACTCCAAGTCAGCATAGCTTGTCAAGAGTTCATGGTTGAGTTCATGGTTGTACTGATCTTTATTTATTTATTTAGATTTTACCAAGAGGCCAAACTCCAACTATCAGAATTAAGCTTCTTGCTTCCCCAGTTGAGCTGATCTTGACAAAATGGCTCTCGATCTAGGGGAATTCTGCACTAGAAGGGCTTCATGTTGTAGGTGTCTGCTGCTGGTCAACTTAGGTACTATCAGACCCAGGCCTGACCTTAGATTAAGCAAATACGTCTGCTTAACTATGATTCACATTTTTATACTTTCAGTTACTTTTAAGTCAATTCTTCTATGTGCTTAATGAACACATGTGAATAATATGTTTTTTAATTTTTTAAAAAGTTGTTTTAATGTATGTTCAAAGTGCTCCTCTACCAAATAATTCCATGGTCACTTAAGGTAGCAATATCTGTATTCTTAAAGGGAAAAATGTGCCTTTCTTTTAATAATGATGAAAGGAACTAACTATGTTGTCATCGTAGAGTAGAATTTATGCTCAAATTACTAAATCTGGTTGTTAATGGGAAATGATTGCTGTGAACCTACTGGTGTAGCATATTTTGGGAGAACTAGATTAGTCTTTAGAGCTTTGGGCATTTATTAAAAGCAAAAAATGCCTGACTTAATGTCATAAAACCCTAAAAAGTTGGCCATGGTTTTTTTTTCCCCCAGAAATAGAGAATCTTATCTTTGCTGGAACATTTAAAAATCATGAAAATATTATTAAGAAATTCATTGTGGTTTTCAAAAGTAAGGAATATAGTATATTTTTAAAAGTTGGAGGATTTTTCCTTCATTTATTTGCCTTTTATTCTCAAATATCATAAACTATAAAACAAACAAAAACCAATCAACCAACAAACAAAACTGGACTACATGCAGTTCACTGTGTGGTTAGATTGAAAAGTAAAAAATTATTACAATGTTACAACTCTGTGCAATGAACTAAACTGTGAACAAAAGTTTGTTAAAACTCAGATTCACCATTTCCTAAACTGGTGACTTGGGTAAGTTACCTGACATTTCCATGCTTCTAATTTTTTATTGACAAAATGAGGATAATATGAACAACAGAACCTCCCAATAGGATGCTATATGGAGACTGCCATAGTTATCATGCACAAAGGAGCTTCCAATAGGCACACAGTAAGCACATCATAAATGCTGGCTACCAGGACACAGACATCTTTAAAGAAGAAATAAAGAAAATAGAATTTTGGTTTTTTTCCCATTATTTCATAACCACATTTTGCTTTTTTAAGGGCTAAAGTGTTGTCCACTCTTAGGAATTTACCGTGAAAACTTTCATAATATCATAACTCACATACAGGGACAGAGGTCAGAGTGACCTCTAAGCAAGTCAGCAGTGGGACTATCTTGGCAATGTCTTCAGTTATGCCAAGGCCTGGCTGTCCCTGCTGTGGTCCCCAACCTCTAGGCCTTGGGGTACTAGTCTGTGGTCTGTTAGGAACCAGGCAAGCAGTGCCACCTGAACTCTGCCTCCCCACCCTGTGCAGACCACCCCACCCACCCTCGCCCTCACCCCCATCTATGGAAAAATTGTCTTCCACGAAACTTAGGAATTGGGCTGCACAGCAGAAGGTGAGTGGCCAGTGAGTGAGAGAAGCTTCACCTGTATTTACAGCCGCTCCTGATCACCTGCATTAGGCTGGGGACTGCTGCCTTAGGACACTGAGATCATTTAAATAGAGAAATCCCAAAGCAAACAAAGTCCCTTCAGAATGGAGTACGCATCAGCCATTCTTCTTTATTTCTTGACTTTGGGGGCATTTATAGGGTATATTCATTTGTATTCAGATAGTCTTGCTAAAGGGTATTTTACAAAATAAATATTGTATAGCTAGAACTCCAAATGACATCCATTACAGAGAAAAAATATCCATAAGAGCCACTCTTTTATATTCTCACTGCATCTTTAGTTTCAGGAAAAAATGATTTTATGTCATCACAATATTTTTTAAGGTATGTCTTACGGATAAGTAATAAGAGACATGCCAACTTTATGGATGAGGAAGCTGACATACCAAAAAGTTAAGGCTCTTTTCTCAGGGCACAAAAGAAAAAAAAGAATGCAACGATTGCAGACAAACTTTTTTTTGTTCTTGTTTGCAAATAAGTATTGTAGCCATAAACTTCACTTTTCGTGGGGCATAAAACATACTTTTATGACACATTTTAGATCAGTGGGTTACCAGCTCTGCTTAAAACATATGTATAGATGATTTCCCCAAAAATATGACTTATGAAACAATGTTCTATAAATTGGTTGTCTACATCTTATAATAAATATGAGCTATAAATGCCTTTGAATTTGTGGGGACTCCGTGAAACTTGGGAACTTCTGCCCATATACAAAAGGAAATATGTTCGGAAAAATATAGACTGATGCAATCAGGTATGTGTTATAATTTTTAATCTTGAAATAGGAATACCATGATGAACTATTTATTAGTAATAGAACTGCTGAGATTTATATGAAACAAGGAGAAGTTTATTATTAAAAAATTATCTCATCTAAAACTGGTCTAATGACTCTTATCTAATTGAAAACATGGCTTTTTTTTTTTTTTTTTTTTAGTTATAACTGGATTACTAGGGGCTTTAATGGTTGCACGAGGACTCAGATCACAACTCAGAAATGAACTTTAGTAAAGAGACCATCTGTTCTGGTGTATGGGGAAGCCTGCTGAGTTCTACCAAGACATCTGACACTAGGCTGCTAGAACTGTTTGTGGCATGACCTGTATCTTTCAGGATGCCTAGCGAGAGAAATGCATTGTTTGGTTAAATTGTATAATTAATTTCGTTTTATGCCAAAGACAGTAAACAGGTAGGAAATGAGAAAGTAACATACAAGACCATCAGTAATGACTTCTGTACACATAAACCAACACAGTCATTCACAGAATATTTACATAAAGAAATGATGATTCATTCATTCTGCACGATATTTATTGAATACCTACACTTGTGTCAAGCATCATTCTAGGTATTTTGAATTCATCAGTGAACCAACCAAATAAAAATCTTTGCCCATGTGGAGATTACGTTCTAAAGGGATGAGGAGAGATGTGTAAGTGATCTTGACATCTGACTTATTACTGAAGATAAATACTCTAGAAATTAACACAATTTTGGAAATGGTGCTATATTCCGATGCACTAGAACAGTTCCAAAATAAAGAGATGCTTTACCTTGGTAATCTCCATTTCTAATAGAAAGACGACTCAACACCGTCTAAACAAATTATGCAAATTGCCAGAATGAACTCGTTAAAGGAATACCCTTGGTCTTCCTATAGCCTAATTCCCACCAGATGAGAAAAAAGGCATCACCTTCTGAAAGTAGAACTAATTCTTTCATTTTTCTAAAGAATAACTAACTCAGTGCCTTGAAACAAAAAATAAAATGGTATTTGGTGATGTAAGAGCAATGTGTGGCTCGAATGCAGAAATCTGACAGCAGGACTTTGGACTTGGATGCCAGAGCAGTTGCAAACCTAAACTTTCCTGCATTTCCATCAGCTCTGACACCCGAGGTGCCCATGGGCAGGGAGACTCACATGCGATGCGCACATACGCCTTCCGGCTCTTCGTGGTGCCCGCTGAGCTCCAGGCCACGCACTGGCACCAGTAATCTTCAGGTCCAAAGAGTTCTTCCACTTGCTGGCGCGAAATCTCAATGCTCACTTCCCGGACGATGAGACCTGGTAAGAGAAAGAAAGATTCAAGTCAAGAGAAGACTCGTACTACAGAAACATAAAACATCACACTGTACTTTTTCCTCGATGATCCTTCTTCATGCCATAGATCAACATCCTGGAGATTGTCTCCCATCTCCTGTGATTTTTCTTCTTTACCCGACAACTTTTTCATTTCCTTATTTGCTATTTCAAATCTTCTGGGTTCATCTGAAGATGCAAGTGGCGTGTCTTTCTCCATATGGTTTGCAAATACTCACTTTCTACCAAGTTACCTCCCTCTGTATATTCCAATGTGAACTTGAATTTCCTATCTTCAAAGGATTCTACCTCAATTATATAGGTTGTGGGTAAGATAGCCATGTGCTCCACACAGCTTTGGGATAGCTCAATCTTCTCAACTCTTCACGTGAAATGAGCGGGAATAACCTAAAACTAAAATCATTGTGGTAAATTAACAGTTGTGTTTCAATAATAATGGTGCATCGTTTTTCTTGAAAGAAATATTACCCTCAGTTAACAAACCTCTGGGATCCTACCCAAAGAATATATGACTTTAAAAGCTTCTGTGCATAATATTTTCAAAGCCCAAAGGTTTCTCTGTAATTGTAATGTAACTACAATCCTGATAAATCCAGCTAACACACTCAAATAATTAGAGTGCATTTCACAGCATTACATAATCCCGAATAACAAAAAGTTGAATTAAGAACCTGGGATTAGCATTTCAGGAAGATTTATCTTGAAGTATCAAGGTTGTTTCAGAGATTCATTCTGCAATGTGCCTCTTTGCATTGAACAAGAGACATCATCTGGACAATATATGTGGGCAACTGCCAGCTCTCCAGGAGCTTGAAAGGACAGCTTTCAGAATGGGGTGTCCATTGAGAGAAACAGCAGAACACCCAGAGGGAGGCAGAGAACTTGATTTGGGTCAAGTATGGGCAAAGTAAGAATGATGAAATGTATTGCTTTGCACTATTTTAGTCATTCATCCATTTGTTCTTTGAAAAAATATTTAAATAAGAATCAGTTCTGTAAAAGATACTATAGTAGGCACTTGTGAAACTCCAATGGGTAAGACAGTCATTGTCCTCAATAAACTTACATTAGCATGAAGAAGGCTCATGTTAACAATGTATTATTCAACTTATTATTTAGGTACAAGTATGCTCAATGCTGCAAAAGACATGTATACGGATGAGAGTGAATAGCAAGGGAACACAATCTGGCATGAAGGATCCAACATGTATTAGCTCAACCAAATTGTACGGTGAGAAGGGAAGGACATATGGAAAGAAATAGAAAAGAGAATTAGCAGACTGAGAACCCAGGGGAAGACCATACCAGAGAATAGAGGCATGAGATGAAGCTAGAGACAAGGAAGAAAGTCTAGTGGTTCTCAAAGTGTGGTCCCCAGAACAGCCTCATCAGTAGCACCTGGTACCTGTTGCAAATGCAAATTCCCAGGTCCCTCTCCAGACTCAGAGAATAGGAAACTTGGGGAACGGGGTCCAGCAATCTCAGTTTTAACAAGCCTGCTGAGTAATTCTGATGCACGCCAAGTTTGAGAACCACTCTTGTACATAATGCCTAAGGATTTTCAATTTGTTCCTGAGAGCTATGGGTATCATTAAAGTGTTTTAAGCAAGGAGATAACATGATCAGATGATGATTAAATATACACATATCTATTTTAAATATAAAAAAATATAGAGGCCGGGTGTGGTGGCATGCCTGTAATCACAGTGCTTAGGGAGGCTGAGGTGGGAGGATTGCTTGAGGCCAGGAGTTTGAGACCAGCCTGGGCAACATAAGGAGATCCCATCTACACTAAAAATAACAAAAAATCTCACCAAACAAGAAAAGATATAGAAATACGTGTGTGTGTATATATATTTGTGCATGTATACATACATGTGTGAGTATATGTGTGTATGTGTCTCTATATATTCAAATCTTTAGAGTTTAATAAGTTCCCAAGAATTATAATTTCTTAAAATTTTTGATCATAGGTGGTAGCAAAGGGTGTATCTTCTGGAAACCCTAACAAAGGGTATTCTAGAACTTTCCCTAATACCCAAAAAATATTCAAATGGATAAGATCCACTCAGGTAAATTAACAACCACCCAATAATAGTAGGTGCTGTCTCACTGTGGAAATAAACAATATTTCCTATCAAGAGCTGATGGGGCTTGATTCATAGGAACTACTAAGCTCGTAAGCCCATTAAAAATGCTCTGAACTGAAATGAAGCCCAGAAAAGTGGATTTCATAATCCCAAAGCATGACAAGATCCTACAGGGGCCATGCTAATGTCAAAAGTTTATTAAATATATTTAAAATTATTTTGAAGTTTTAAACATTAGTTATCCTTTTACGTTTACACAGTAATCAGTTTAAAAAGAATTTTCCAGCAACTGGCAATCCCAACCCCTCACCCTCTATGAAAGGGAAATTAGTATATTATTTTAGCCAATGTCCAACTGTTAATAATACAACAATCTTCACAGCAAAAATCTCAAGCTACTAACAAATAACACTAATTTCCTCCCTCTTTTCTGGTCCCTGCTTATGCCTCAAGTTTCCCTACCTTATTGTAACTTTTCTCATTATTCTATCTAAATATCATTAGAGATCTAGAAATCTGTGGAAAGTTAAAGCAAAGCCTCCTCCCCCCAGTCCCTCTCTCTTTCTCTCTCTTTCCTTTTTTACCCTACTCTCCGGTGTTTAATGTTTCTGCCTGTTTTACTTGTTTATGCATTCCTTCTTCATGCAGAAATTCAGTTACTGGAAACAAACCTCTCCTTTAAGGCTGTTGCAGTAAACTTACGGTCACCAAAGGGCTGATAAACCTGCAGAGTGTATTTCCTTCCAACTATAATGGCTTTTTCTAAAATGCAGAGCAGCAAAAAAAAAAAAAAAAAAAAAAAAAATGGGCTCAGGATATTAAAACCACATACAAATATTTGGTGTCCCAAGATGATAACTTCAGGTTTCATTCCCCTCCTTGCACTTAAAGCAATTGCAGGAAACCTAATTAAATGCTAGGAGAACCTCACTGGGTCCACTGTTATCTTGGAGCCCAAAAAGGCTCATGGATGTTTCTAGCGACCACAGATCTGAAGCCTTTTAAGAAGCCACAGACCAAGCCTCCTGCTACAGGAGTTATTCATAGAATGAATGTTTTCAATTTGGTGGCCCCATCCCCCTGTGGGCACTGGCGTCAAACACACACTGATTTTTAGCTTCAGCTTCACAGATGGCCCACATCGAGGAGGAAGTGAGTTAATTACAGTCCTGTGCAGTTGTGTACAGTTGTTCTGAGACATGCTCCAAAGTTTACATTCCAACTCTTGCTCGACAACACAAGAGTAAGAAAGAACTGAAGCATAAAATATCTGAACACTTATGGCTCAGAATTCTCTAGAATCAGCTGCAATGTTTAGACTCTGAGCTACTTGGTTACATACCATCTTTTCCTTACCGTGGGTAACTTCATTACCTGTGACATTTTGTTCATCAAACCAGAGCCTAGTGGTGTGGGTAAAAGTAGGTTAATATCTTTTCTCTTTGAAAGTGAAATTTCAAATCTGCTTGAAGTCTTGAGATGCAGAAAGCAAGCTGCCTTGAGATCCGACATGCCACCAGCATTACTTCTAAGACAGCCTGCTTTGAAGAGCATTTGGGAACTTGAAATTGGTTTCAGGTTATTTAAGGGTGGGGGGAAAGGCTTTGCTCTACAGGATTTACTCAAATACAAATGTGTAGTTTCCATCCCATCTGATAACATCAAAGATTTCCCATCACCGTGCTTCCTTTAAAAGTGGCGTCTCAAAGATGCATGCTGTTTGAAGTTTGCAGTGATTTGCTTTTATAATAGGATTCATTGTGGTTTGGGAGCCAGAGTGCAGGAAAGTAATTAGCGTGTTATGCCAAGGAGCCTTATAAAGAGCAAGCTCTTGATAAGAAGGAGGAGTTTCAAAGGAATATAGAAATCCAGATTCAAATGCAGCCCTCTGATTGGATCTTTGTGAGGCCATACGTGATTATAGCAGTAACCCCTGATAAGTGACAAGTACACCTTATCTTTAGCTTAGTTTTCATTTCTTCACAGTGGTTGGGTACCACAAACTGTTTTTCTAGGATCTTATTATAAAGTGCGCACAGTGATGAATCCTATTGCATAGTCATTTAAAATAATATATATATATATATATATATTCTCCCAAAAAAGTAATCTATAGTGCTATCAAACAAATACCTCTTCAAAATCCACGAATGTCAGCTATTATGTTAAGTTACAGAAATGTAAAGATGGATCAAATATTACCCAACCTTAAGCTGTTCCTTTATGGTAGAAGAGCATCTTGTTTATTAGATGATACTCAAAAAAATCACACATCATCTTAAAACACTCTTTAAAATGTGGTCATCAATCTGCACCTTCTGATAGCCCATGTATGTTTCACTGAAAGGCATAAATCGTAACACAACATTAGACTTAGGTGTTACATACGCCGGAGTTGTATTCCTCCGTCCTCCCAATCTTATCATGTTGTGCAGGCCTGACAATTCGAGTTTCTCCAACAATCTCTCTAATGGGCAAAGAGCTGCAGAGCTCATGCTAACCAAATCTCATTATGGTCCATTTACAGTTAGGACATGGGTTGGTAGGAAACGTACAGATCTACAGGTAGGGATGTTCTGGAATATGTTACTATGTTTTATTGAATTAGTGTGCTTTTTTTTCATGCTTTCTTCCAGAGCCTAATCCTATTAGTTTTAACTAATATGATCTAACATATGAAACATATCAGTTGTAGATGTTCTAATATAAATTAAGTCACAGAAAATACCTTGTCATTATGTAGAAGGATGTCATATCTTAAAAACCTGATAATTATTTTAGCAACTTATAACTCTCACTAAAATACTCAAAATAACTTGAAAAGGCAGAATTTCAGAATCAAGATGCTATGTTACGTTACATGAAGTCATCTAG